ATTTTTATCAGATTTTTATCTCTATCTCTGCTGTGCACATTTTTTTATCAAATTTTTATCTCCTAAATATTATTTTAAATATTATTATCGATTTTCATCAATTTTTTATCTCCTAGATATCTTATATATAAAAGAAAGAAACGCTAGGGCAACCCTAAGAAACCCTAATGTCATATTTGTAATTCTTTTTCAATTTTTATCAAATTTTTATCTCCTTAATATTATTTTAAATATTATTTTCGAATTTTATCATATTTGTATCCCCTAAATATTATTTTAAATATTATTTTTTATTTTTATCATATTTTTGTCTCCTAAATATTATTTTTTATTTTTATCAAATTTTTATCTCCTAAATATTATTATAAATTTTTTTTTTTTAGTTTTATCAAATTTATATCTCCTAACTATAATTTTAAATATAATTATCAACTTTTAGCAGATTTTTATCTCCTAAATATTATTTTCGAATTTTATCATATATATATATATCTCCTAAATAATATTTTAAATATTTTTTTCGAGTTTTATCATGTTTTTATTAGTTTTTTATCTCCTAAATATTATTTTCGTTTTTTATCAGATTATTGTCTCCTAAATATTATTTTCGATTTTTATCTAATTTTTAACTCCTAAATATTATTTTAAATAATAATTTTGATTTTAATCATATTTTATCTCCTAAATATTATTCTAATTATTATTTTCATATTTTATCAACTTTTATCTCATTAAAATTATTTGAAATATTATTTTCGATCTTTTATCAAATTTTTATCTCCTAACTATTATTTTAAATTTTATTTTCGATTTTTATCAGATTTTTATCTCCTAAATATTATTTTTTGATTTTTTTTATCAAATTTGTATCTCCTAAATATTATTTTAAATATTATTATCGATTTTCTTCAAATTCTCCTAGATATTATTTATAATAATCTGATTTTCGATTTTTACAGAAAAGGGTAAATAAATCTGATTTTCATCCTTAGCGGATTTTGTGACATCGTTTTACTGAATGTGCAACATTTGAATTTTATTTCTTCCCTACCTAAGGCTTATTCTTTTGGTAACCCGACTTTAGATTTTGTTTCTTATATTCTTCTTCATCCTATTGATTGTGTGGCAATTAGTTTACATTTTTTTCCATCATGGCTTATAGGTAATTTCATTTTGTTATATTATGTGTTTCATTAATTTATACCAAGGTTTTCAAATTTTATGTATAACAATTATTTCATTTTATATGTTATTGGACATGTTATTGAAATGGATGATTTGAGAAAATAAACCAAAAATGGGCGGAGCCACAAGCTATTGGAAGTCGACCTTCAAGACTTATTGTTTGTATGCGATATTTAATTTATTGTTTATATTTATTTTTGTTTCTTAATTTTCCAATTGTTAATTCCAGTGGCAAAACAACCTTAAAATGGGGCAGTGGAGAAGGACTTAGTTCCGATGCAAGATGTATAGATGGCCTTCAATTTTACGATGGTATGTTGTCGATAGTTTAGTTTTGATTATGTTAACTTAGTTATTGAATCTAATTACTTTTAAGCTCAACATGAAAGACATAATTGATGATTTTTTTTCCTGGTTCAAATTTTCAATCTACTGGTATTAGCTGATTCAATTCATTTGGAAAATTATTCAACAGTAAAGTTATGTCATTTTTTTTTGTGTGTAGTATACTTAATAATGTTCCAGTATAATAGAATTTTGATCATACGATACATCAAATGTTTGTTTATATTCTTACAACATCAAAACAATGCAATTTGTTGTCCCGTGCATCGCACGGGTACAATTACTAGTATAGGGATAATATAGAGAAAAAATATCAATTAAGGGCGTCCTTCGGTCCACCCTTGACCAAGGGTTGACTCGCCCTTGAGCTTAGGCATAAGGTATATCTGGACGAATTCACATGCAGAAGCAGTATGTCCATTTACTAAAGATTTAGACACAAATTTCATCCCATGAGCCTCGAGAATGCTACTGTTAAATCAGAAGCGCTTGATTTGTTTGCTTTCTCCTGTCAATGGTTAATAAAAAATTCAATATCGAAATCAGGATCATTAATATTGATACGACCCTGTTAAGATATATTGGTACCATAATTATGAGATATGATTAGATATTAATATATATAAGGATATCATAATTGCAGGATTTGATTAG